TATTTATTTCAAAATAAGCACTAATGCATTCTGCCTCCAGAAATGACTTTAGCTGGATGAAAGCATAAACATTTAAATTAAAAACAAACATTTAAATAGGGTTAGACCTTTAATTTGAACGAACGCATTGGGTAAAATTGAACACATTGGACAATTTCTGAGAGCGAATGACAAAGTGTCAACTATTGTTTACACGAACGCGAACACGAACGCGAAATGACTTCGTTCAGATTTTTTTTTTTTGGGGGGGGATTTTTTTTTGGGGGGGGGGTTGAAAAGGAGCTGTATGCCTTGCGATCTTTGTTCTTATAAGATGAATAAAAAAAAGCTTCACTGAAAGTTTTGAAGTTAATCACCTGCGAGCTTCCTGCTCCATTCTCCAGAAATGAGACGACTGAATTCTACTTGCCAGTGGAATACATCCTACTGAGTATTCTGACATTATAATTAATTAAACTGTAATAATCTATAGGTCTACCTTACTAATGCAAATACTTCAATCAGACGGGTTATTTTACTTCCGATTATATTTTCGTCGAGCCAGTCCCGATTCTCAGCCCGTCATAAGTTGCGATGGTTCATTTTTAAAATCGTGTTAGGATTTACGCATTTTTGCTGTTAGTTTTATTAATTGGATACACTGTAAAAATAAATGTCAAACTTCCTTGAACTACGATGCAGCAATATATTCATGTCACACGCCACGATACATGTTTATGGAAGGGTAATCCTTGCTGACATTTTATTCGAACCCAGACATTTTCCGGTTCATTGTATATTTCATATCTTTTTTATTTATAGGTCAGACTCCGTCTCTGCTAAAAGCCTGTCCGCAGTCCCGACGATCATATTCATTTCCGTGGCGTCGTATGGAATGAATAACGAGTTCATTAAAAAGAAAAGCCATGATTTCATTATCTGCAAGGGCGATCGCCCATAATATACGAGGAAAATCTTCCAGTCACGACGCTTTTTCCTGAGGTTTACAATAGAAATACCGTTAATGATTGAAACTGGGAAAAGTCACGGTCAATTTTCGTCCAATTTCTCCCTCGCAATCTCCTATACACATCCAGCTGGCATTTACAACCACGCATGCCTTCAACGCATTTTATTAGAGACACGAAAGCAAGACCACCGAGATCACGCGGCAAAAACCGACATTCGTTATTTTTCAATGTTCAGAGTTCGGGTTAAGTAAAGTAAAACGGATTTATGTAGGCAGGATATTCAGAAATTCGGCATTACTCAGTGAGACTCGTGTAAGACGCGCCAATAGACGTTGACATCCCTAATGTTCATGTTTAAGCAGTCAAGTATACAAGAACTCATCATTTAAATTAACAATTGCTTTTTGCCCGAAGTTAGAAACCGCTCTTCACTTTGTGACGATGAACATAAAGATGCCTTTCCAGGGCTTCTTTATCTCGGCAAAAAAAACTATCACCTTCAGGCCAAAACAGATATAGTTGAATGGGTACACAATGCCGTATATTTACCAAGTAAGGAGACTGAATGTTGAAGCACTGCTCAGTGAGAATGATGTTCCATGAAAAAGGGGCTTTGTTAGGGCTGGCGCAATCGATACAAGACTGGTAAAACATGCATCGATTCCAGGCGCAGCCAGGGGCAGGGGGTATAGTTCGGCAAGTCATGGAGTCTTTGGAGATAATTAAAAATAAACCTTGCTTGATTGAATCCATCTCAAAAGTTCATTAACCTTTTGTTCACCAATGAAGATGGGAATCCACAGGAAGAGTCCATGTGGATCTGATGGAGGATAAATGTGAAGATCGTTTTCTTTTGGCAATAGATATATTAGATAATTTCACCACTTGGTAGTCGGTATCTACATTACATAGTCATATCAGTACATATAGCGTAGCTTGCTTTATAGGTTTAATGTGATCGAATTTAAACATTAATAAAGTGCTTCTCACAATGATTTTTAAGACGAATGAACCAGTTTTTTGTGTCCATCGAAACTGACAACACTGAAGAACCTCTAAATAGGTATACATGTCTTAAAGCAACCAAGCATTTTCGAGAATTTCAGTGTTACATTTTTAATTTACTTTGTTCACAAAATTCAGTTATTATATTGACATGCACATGAAGAGGATAGGCCTAGAACTATTGATTTTCACAGTACAATAAAGCGTTCTGCACGTACCTTGAGTACAGTGTATTATCCTCACAGACGGGTGTTCGTTAATACACGGTGAACTCAGTATAGTCTCAGTAAGATATCCAGGTCCTTCAGACATAGCGTTAGCCTCCAGGATAATCGCCCATTATCAGCGGTTGAGGCAGCAAGGGTTGCGAAGACTTTAGACGCACACTACCATGGCTCTTGAGAAAGGAATGCAAGAAGGAAATTATGGAAATTCAAACTTTTATATGGGGATGACGGTTAAGACGCACGTCAGCATCTCGAACGAGCTCTTGGTGATAGACGGAGGATATCTAGTTGATTCTTCACTTTCAACCAGAATAGCGGATTTTACTTTCCATAATAGTTTACAGCAAAGTGAGCTGATGTGACGTATAGGCCTACACGGGTTCCTGTTGCTACGTTCACTCGAACGGGGATGTTTCTGTCACACATTATGAACAATAGGACTGATCCTCTTACCCTGAACTGAGCCAACCCAAGAACACAATGACAGTTATCCTGCGGCACTGGAAAACATCATCCCGAACGCCACAATGTCCATAAAAACGTGTGCAGTGAATGGTTGGGCGGCAACAGTTCCAATCCGCATCTAGCTGGCTCAACGTGATAATCAAAAACGCTACGGCTGTTCTGTGTCGTTAATTGCCGTATAATTTAGGTTTTACTCTTCTTAACAGTGGCCGCACTCAAGGGGGCGGGGGTAGGGGCTGGGGTGGGGGGGGGGGGCTGGTTTGGACGGTTGCTTAAAATGTTTTTCTTTTCACAACGATCGAACTTTCTCTGCATTTGCGATTATTTTTTTTCATAATTGAAGGGAGGGGGGGGGGTGTTACTAAACACACTTGCTTGAGGCATATTCCCATGTAACTAGTGCCGTTTATGTGGATGGTCTGGATTCCGGGTCGTGTCGGTACGTGATGGATCGACAGGTTCTAATTAGGGCAAGCAAGCACAACCATCAGCAGCTTCTCTTAAGATGGATACAGCCACCCCACCAACCCATCCTTTTAACCATAGAGCTATGCTTTAGCCATCTTTAAAAAACACAAGATGGCGTCGTAGGACTTGGATGAACCTTTTGGGAGTAGTAGATAAGAGAGGTAATTGGTATAATCTAAATTAAATGATGCATATCTTCACATGATATAAGACCTTTCCGTATACAATTTCAAGCCAATGCGAGTGGTTTGGATTAACTGATCTGTGGTTTACAAAGTAATAATAAAATGTCAGGAGAAACGAGATACTATAAGTTTATTTTGCAATATTTCATTCCCTCATTCTGCAAATATGGGCCTATCGAAAAAAGCAATTATCCCTTTACCACTATTCCTGATATTTATACAGGGCGAGTAAAAAAAATGTGGAACAAAGTTAAAAAGAAAGAAATATATTTCACATATATATATATAAAAAAATGTTACACCAAAATAAAGTATGACTTGGCAGCCCATTTATTAAAATACTTTTATGTGAGAGAGTCATTTTAATTGCTCTACAAAATTTATCACTATTAAGTAATCCTAAAATCAGTTTCGTCCAAAAAAAAGGAGCAATTTATTGTATGTTCTGACTGTTTGGAACAACAAAGAAAATGACACAGCATACTTGTTTCAACAACTGTAGTACACAGTATCTTTATGAACAACCCTGCTTTGGCTAACAATAGGATTAAACAATACATTTTGTTTTATAAAGACGGGCCTTTTTAAATATTTTAAACTGAGGTTTTATCGCTGGGGATATTTGAAGATAATTGTCACGACAATTCTTGAAATCGCCCTTTTGGACGAAACAGATTTTATGGTCATTTCGTTTAAATGGTGACACAATTTGAACGGATCGAGTTGTAGTATTTTTTCATCCAAAAGGAGCGTATTAAGTTGGCCTACCAGTCATATAATTAGTTTTGGTGCTACATATTTTTTTAAATATAAAATATATTTCTTTGGGTCTGGGTTCCGCTTTTTTTTTTACTCGCCACGTATGACACCCACATCAAGTAAGGTTTTACTGAAAGGCGTGAATTCCGCCGTGTCATGCAAAGGGTTGGCCTGTCAACCGTTAATACTGCTGACTCCAAACACAAGAAATAAATGCTGGTATAAAATATGCAAACCATATCGAGTAGCTGTTGCTGGCACGACTACAATAAGAATTCAATAACCAAGATTTTGTTCAACAAAGTAGGCCTATTATGCCTAAAATCGACTCCACTGAAGGTCTAAAAATGTGGATCTAATCAAAGCAAAGCGCAATCTATCGTTACGAGGTTTAAACCCTACATGTACCCACAGTTATCTGGTCTGTGTGTACGATCATGGAGCTTTAGCTTCATGGTACGATTAAGAAAATCGGGAATACCGAAGTCGTTTGTTAATTTTGATTCACCGACATTTGTAAAGTTCATAATAAGAGAGGCGAATGGCTTTGTAGAAATGTATTTCTTTGAAAAGAGTTCCATAATTCTATGAATTTAAAGAAGTTAATCCATTATGCTGGGGAGTATTTTGCCAAGAACTTGACACAATTCGATCTTTATCTGCCATGTAGCACAGACGAGTAAACAACGAGTCGGTAGGCCACACATTCACAAGGTGGATATGGTAAAACTGGCAGATCGTGTACATTTCAGAACGGTGAACTAAATAGTACCGGGCGTACTAATTGACTACGTCAGGCATATTGTACCGAGTAAACCTCGCCGGCCATGATACAAGAGGTATTCAAACGGCGACAAAAATAGATACTTTAAAAAATGCTGGTATCTCAAATTCAAGGACATCCACCTGTCACCAAAGTAATCCACAGACTAATATGACTCTAAAACTCAATATTAATATATCGTTTATTCATCTGGTCCCTGATCCCTTACTATTTCGCACGAATAGAAAAAAAACACCGTAAAAAAAACCTTGTCAAAACACATTTCTATCATGCGTACACAGTTCTATCAAGCAATTAAAACTCGTACATCTATAAGATGTAGACCTACATAATGCTACAGTGGTCTGCTCAGAGCTTTTTCCCGCTCGACCGTTAATTGAATGCTCTCTACAAACAGCCAGTGTTTATTGTGAGAATCAAATGATTAAGGACAATGTTCTTCAAATATTAATAAAGTGCACCCCACTAGCGCTAACCAATCGCAAATAGTCACTAACAGAGTCCATCCGCAATATAGATGACCGCCTTATTAATTTCCTTATGACTGGGATTGAAAATCCAATTAAGATTTGGAAAGATGGGCTAGAGTGTAAATTAATGATGGCCCGGCTGCTTCATAATGTGTTCTTACAATAAAAGGTTTGAGAACTATTATAGTAACACAGTTCACCAATGGTTGGGGAGGGAATCAGCCATATTAAATTGAAAGCGAGGTAAATTCTTCATTTTTGGAACTTGCAAGTAGAAATGAAAGCAATGAATTAAAAATGTATTACAAGGTAACACCAGTTTATAATTTAACATTTGTAATTAAACATATCCTAATGTTTTAAGCCACATTAATTAAAAAAATGAAATCGAGGCTTGGCACCTACCATGACTCCAGTTATAATTTAGTCTGGTACCATCCCATTCAACAGTTACAATTTGTAAAATAGATTCAGGGAACACGATCGAAAATGGCTTCAGCGTAAAAAAAGGTCTTGGCCTATGCCCTTATTTCACTGGACAATGAATGCATATCTTTGGTTGACGATTTGTCTATCCTCAACATCATTATAATACATAGCTAAAACAGCCTGATGACCGTATGTCCAAACTCGTCCTATTATGTACACTGTACAAGCTGCATCTCATTCCCGTCCCTCCATCACGCCCATTAAAAAAGGTGAAACTTGCATGCAAAATAGAGGCCAGGGATAATATTGCCTGAAGCCTGTTGTATGTGTTTTAGGTAAGGTAGGAGCCTGCCGCTACCACAAGGTGTGCAGGGGAAAGCTGATCAGTGTAAAACAAAATATGAATGCAGTAACACGCATGCCTAAGGCACTGCCTCATAATATAGACAGGTCATTGACCTTGCACAGGTAAATCACCTAAAAGAAACAATGTAATGTAGAAGTCATATGCATAATCATACAATGATACCATCAATGGTGTGTGATGACTGGGTGTATGTGTAACTTTATTCACATACATTTTAATACAATCAAACAACACAGCAAAGAAGCTGACAACACAACAAAGAACAAACTCACAATTTTAAAGGAAATTAAAATAAAATAAAAAACGGAACAATATGCAACCTATTTATAAGCAGTGCAAGTATAGACTCAAAATGGCAGATTATTGTGGACAGCCTCTAAAATCTGATACCAGCCAGTGCATCAATTATCAAATCGACCTACGGGTGAGCCTAATTTAAATATCAAATTGGATGTGTCGTACAGATATAGCTACAGTTCTACAGCTATGAACATTTGTCATGGTGCACTGCAAGACAACCAATAATATATCAGAGGCACAAGGCTGACCAGGTCACCAAGATGGCTGACCCGGTCACCAAGATGGCTGACCTAGTCCCCAAGATGGCTGACCTGGTCACCAAGATGGCTGACCTGGTCACCAAGATGGCTGACCCGGTCACCAAGACGGCTCCACCTGGTCACCAAGATAGCTGACCCGGTCACCAAGATGGCTGACCTAGTCCCCAAGATGGCTGACCTGGTCACCAAGATGGCTGACCTGGTCAAAAGATGGCTGACCTGGTCACCAAGATGGCTGACCTAGTCCCCAAGATGGCTGACCCGGTCACCAAGATGGCTGACCTAGTCCCCAAGATGGCTGACCTGGTCACCAAGATGGCTGACCTGGTCACCAAGATGGCTGACTCGGTCACCAAGTTGGCTGACCTAGTCCCTAAGATGAATGACCAGGTCACCAAGACGGCTCCACCTGGTCACCAAGAAGTTTATTACCTGTAGTCCGTGCTCTCAGCAGCAGTTGTGATACACTGAAAAATACTCTTCTGAAGGAACTTAGGTTTAAAATGGTGCATGAATTGTTCTTGTTCCAATTAAAGATTTGTCACGTCGTTTGAACAGCTGCCTCACATTCCTCTGACTGTTCTTCAGTTTGTTCATCCTCTTCACTTGTTGCTCTGGTAATTGTTTTCTGACTGGATCTACCACTGACCAGATTGTCTTCTCCTTTTGTGTCTAAGTTCATCCTTTGTTTTTCTCTGAGTAAGGAACATGCCCATTTCAAGTCCTCTTCCCACAATTCATTGTCACATGGGTTCAGGTGAATGGCCTTGGAAAAACTTGATACTGCCTGTAAGAAAGAATATATTGCAAAATACTGATGAACACTTAAACTAAATTTCTAAATTCTTGTCCAATGATTAAAAGTTTCTCATTGTTGAGCTATCACATTCGCTGAATAGAAAATGTTACCATTTTAATTTCTCCAAGTCCAAGTTGTGCTCTCCCAAGTGTTTGATGAGCTGCCCACCATCTTGGGTTTAACTTGACAGCTGACACAGCAGTCTGTACTGCTGGGAATACCTCATGAAGAATAAGTAAGGCCTGAAACACAAAGGAAGTAATGGGAATGGTAGCAAATTGTCCTCTTTTTCTTTCTCCATGTTTTGAAACCCCACAAGGATCATTTGCGGTTACCCAAAATCCATGTTTTGTAAAAGTAAAAAAATCTGTACTATGTTGTTATAACATAATGTTAGTTATAACAAACTAAGATTTCTCCCCCCCCCCAAAAAAAATCCCTACACACCCACCTGTGCTTTCATATCTAAGATGTTTTCACTATCAGGGGTAAGTTGGAGAGCTTCATCCCATTTTGTGATTGCCTCCCAATACCTGCAGAATTCATTCCAAGAAAAATATATTTGCAGAAAATCAGAATGACCTTCACTGACTTATTTTAATGCCATAGTTTAACCAGCTCCCAAGGAATTCAACCAGAAACTTCAGGCTTTGTAACATTTTCATGGAACAGTTGTATTCTTGACATTTCCTGGGCCATTGCAAGTCACATGATCAAGTGATAAGTGCTAACTATGATATGGAACACCAAATGATATATTCAGAGCTGTCACGCTTGGGCTGGGTGGGGGGAGGGGTGTCTCCCTCCACTGATATGTACGTTTTTGCCCTCTCGAGAAAAAATGGACCTAGAAAACTAAATGAAAAAAAATTGGAAAATGTGATAAATGGATGTGAAGGTTGTACAATGCCGTTGATAATGTAGATAACTCCCTCCTTCCCCATTAAAAAACAAATACCGTAACTGTACCTTTCTGCCTCAGCCAAGATACTTCCTTCATCTTTAAGTCTCTTGCTCTTGGTTTTTGCATCCTCCAACAAGATGACCTTCCGTTGCTTGGCAACCTGCCCCCAATGGGACAGCGAAACATCACTCTCTACCCCGTCAGGGTCTTGCTGACCTGTGACCTCTTGAAATGTAGTGGCTGCTGACTTGGAAACATTGTCTCCTGCCTTCCGTTTCCAGCCAAAGGAAGTCATTTTATTGTAGATGGACTGTTGGACTGCATAATGGAAACAAGCAAACACAATTAAATTTACTAACAGACAGTAACAATAATATAATGTGGTTTTGAGATTGAAATTGCACAACTGGGGACTGAGGTCTGCAACTGCTCAAATAATTATTTACAACAGGCTAGGCACTGGCATTACAATTTGGTACATGAAACCAAAAAACCTATTCGGTCATGTTGGTTTGTAACTGTCACTTATTTTGAAGGGAAAAAATCCCCAACCCTCGGGCAAAATTTAAGTGACCCCCAAATGCCCACCCTAAGGCATGCAATACGTGACCAAATTCCGACATCGGACCTGGGGCAGCGCGGGAGAGGGGGGGGGATGTTTGATAGGCTCATATTTCATAAGAGCAAGAAAAAAGGGTACGTTAATAAGTTATAAGCATGGTCTGAAAAATTTCAAGTGTTTTCTCAGTAAATGCTTTAATATTTTCCCTGTAAAATTATACTTTTTAGGACGTTATCACTTTCTGATGGCTAATAGGTCACTACAGAGAATTCCTGATTTCTGATGTCGATGTATTCTCCATTTTTTTATAAGGTCTATATTGGCTAGACTAAAACATTTTCTTATTACAATTTTTATATTTAGTTATACCAGCTCAAATTTTCCAGTCATGCCAGTTCATACATTATGGTTAATTGCTATACACTAATCATACTTGTACGCCTATTGGTTGCATTTCCTGTCATTCGATTACCTCCCACTCTACTATGCCCCGCCCCACCCCAGTAGTGAGTACTACAGTACCAGTACTAAGGCAAAAAAAAAAAGTCTCCTGAAGTCCTGTTTCTGGTATGCGCGCGCGTCGCAGTAGCCATGCACGTCGGCAAAATTAAAAAAATGTTATTCAATGTAGGACATGTAAGATGATGTCTCAAAACCGCCAAACTCACTGGTTTGACTGGAATCCTGCTGCTGCACAATTTTAACGTGTTTTTAGATGGTACTATAATAAGCTTTATGTGGCCTCTCTGGGCTCCAATACATTTTGCACTAAATTTAGTCGGGCACCATTTGCAGTCATCAGCCGAAATTTGAAGGAAAAAAAAGGGGGGGGGAAGCCCCTCGTCGCCGCACCACTTTGGGGGCAAGCTCCATACCAGAAACCGGAGACTTTTTTTTTTGGCCTAACTCTTGCTTTTTCGTTTAGCTGGTGATAACAAAATGGTCGAGTTGAACTTTGAAGCGTTGGCAGGGCTGCTTTGACTTCGTGCCGCATGCAACATGTAACGTTATTATATATTCAGGACTCTAAACCAACTACGTACGACCTTCCTCTACGTGAATATAACGTCAGATAGAACAACCATACATTTACCATTTTACGATCGTGCGGTCACAACAAACATTTTACACATGACATGTAATGTAAACACTTCCGAAGATCCGATTAAAACGAATTTAACTCGGCACCCAACGATTTTTGAGCACAATTGTACGTTATTCTGTGGTCTTGCTCCCTAGCTTACCAAACAAACCCGCGCCAGTACGGGTGGTTTTGTATCGTCGGCAACGATTGGCTGATGCTCCCGGGTCAATTTAAATGCCACAACACAACTAGCTGCGCTGAACGCTGGATCGCATCGGTCGGCTGTCCACTGTGTGAATTTCGTCGGCGAAATAAGGTAGAATCCATCATGCTATCATGTCACTAGTTGAATGGATTTTAAAATCTTTCTTCCAACGGTACATTATGTACAACAGTACATTATTTTCCTTTGACCTTTCTTTGCTTTTTAAATTATCGTGATGGTGGGCTACGCCGGTCGCCGGCGTCGCCCGATTTAATATGTGCCCAATTTCCGGACATCATTTTATTAAAACGCCAGTGACAATCGTTACGGCAGCCTTAAACGATTTTCAACTGCTATCATTACGGTATTGCAAAATCACCATTGCAATCTATCACAAGCTGGGTATCCGGGTTGCCACCGAGCTGCTGCTCAATGTTTTTTGTTTTTATACATAGCTTTCTTTACTTTCATGTTTTTAATGAAATTGTAATGGTATTTTAAATAAAATAGGTTTCATTTTCTTTTTCGTAATGCGTGGTTTTGGAGGATATTTTTAAAAGGGGAAATAAAGTCTGGGCAAGATTACCATATGCGAAGTTCACTAATTTTCCTCTGTATTGACTAACAAGCCCCCAGATAGCAATTTCATGTCATCAAAGTCATTTGAGCAGTGACAAAATACAAGCATTTTCTTAGAAAACACTTAGAATTTTTCAGTCCACTCTCGTAGGGTTTGTACACAGAGTGTTGAGTGAACTTCGTATATGGAAATCTTTCCGTTCTTGACTCTCCACAGACTTTGTACACAACCACTGAAGTGAAGTGGCGTCCGGATACTACAATGTACATGTGCATTCTTTCCCAAATAGATCACAGGGTTTCTTTAGCAAGTTTATCTTAAGGTTGCAGTTGCAGACCACTATTTAAATGAATTATTTGGAAGCTTTTAAACAAAGATTTAGGAACCACTTTTTAAAGCATGAGAACTTGAAGGTCAGGAATAAAACATCAAAGTTCACCTCCAAAGAGTCCAATGAAATGTACAGAGTACAGTGAGATGAATTAAGATTGAAGGCATGCAGCACTATTTCAATTCATTTTAAGTGATGTGTTGCTAGAAATTGGAATATTGTCAGTAGATTTACAAATGTACCAAAGCTTTAAATTATAGCTATTTTAATGATAATCATCAATTTATGTTTCGTCAGTCTTTCCTTTACAGACGTGTGTTCGATCTGCAGACATGAATTCATGTGAGCTGTGTTGCACTGTTTCCACGGTAAAGGTGGCACCAACTGGAGAAACAATGAAAAGAGCAAACATTAAAAATGCTACCTTGGTGCTTGGTCGCAATGAGTTTCGTGACATCATACTCCGCATAGAGTGTCATAAAACCAGTACTAAGTACCTTATGCAGGACATTACCATTCACAAACGCTTTGTTAAGGATGGTAAGGCATGTATACAACTTCCAAAGCAGAATCTACAGATTATGATTTCTAATTGTCCTCCACACCAACTTGCTGCATTCTTGAAGTGCTTGGTGGTCAAGCAAGAGTGTGGTAACCAACAGAAGCCCATCAGTGAGCGAGCAAGACTGCTGTCAGAACTGCCAAGAAAGTTTGAGGAAATCTCCCCACTCTGTGAGAAAGATGTCATTACGGTCAACAACTCAAGAGCAGAGAAAGCAGAGGCAAAAGGCACAGCAACGACGCCGGCTGGTCCAGCCAAGAAGAGACTCAAACGGTTACGTGAGAATAGCGAATGCTCTGCTGTGAGTTATTGCATTGTTTTCAGAAATACAATGTATATTAAAACCTTCATCAATAGCTACAACCTAGTCCAAAGTTCTTGTTGTATTTTCTTGATGTAGGAATTTCTAAAATAAAAGGAACTACCATTCTTAAATGTAATGTTCCAGACACTTCCACAAATCAGTTTTTATGACATCAGCTGTGACAAAGAGACTGCATGTAGCAAGGATAACCAAGATGGAAAGGAATGTCACAGATATACTTGAATGTTCGACTACTTGGTCTGCTGCTGTGGATACATCCATGTGCTTGGATTTTTATCAAGTCATGTCTTTCAGTGACATTTTGATTAAATGATGCCATCATAATAATAATAAATAAAAATGTTGTGCAATATCCAACATACCCGTATTGTACATCATAAAGAAATATGATAGTTCATTGAAGTAATTCTTTCCTTTTATGTGTGACGTTATCCCTTAGAGTGAAGATGCTCCACAGAGGAAGAAGCTAAACATCACCCTCAACAAGACTCAGCTTAATCATCAGCAGTCCAAGGTCCTTAATGCTGTCTTGGCTGGACACAATGTATTCTTCACTGGCAGCGCTGGCACAGGCAAGTCATTCCTCCTCAGGAAGATCATCGGAGCCTTACCACCCGAAAGCACATTTGCTACTGCGAGTACCGGAGTAGCAGCATGCCACATTGGTGGGACAACACTACATCAGTTTGCAGGTTATTGTTTAATGTGTTTTCTTAGTAATGTTGCTATATGCCTTGTGCTCATGCAGATACGTGTGTGTGTGTGTGTGGTTGGGTCGTCACCGGACTATGGGACATTTTTTATTGTTGGGGAAATTAGGACCTAGTTATTGGGACTTTCTGCTGTCCCCATAGGGTCTTCGGTCCACATAATACCATGGGAAAACGTGTGTAGTCCCCACAGTTACTGAACAAGAATGTGTGTGTTCACAATGAAATGAATTGTGTACTGGAGATTTCGTGAGCGATAACAAAGTGCCACCTGTTCATGAAAGAGTTCACTTGCCGCTTGTGCCAATGATACATGAATGTGAAATCCAAACTGGCAGGCTGATCAAAAGAATTAACTGACAACAATTGTAATACCCCAAAAATGTTACGCAGTTGTGATCAAAAGAACGTGTAAATATCTTTTCATTAACTGAATTAGCAAGACAATTGTAAACAGAATTTTTTTTTTTCAGGCATTGGCTCGGGCAATCATCCCCTTCCAAAGTGTATTGAGTTAGCATCTCGTCCAGCACGTAAGCAACAGTGGCGGAAATGTCGACATCTGATTGTGGATGAAATCTCTATGGTGGATGGCGATCTTTTCACCAAATTGGAGGTACAGTAACATTGAAAACATGGCACTTATATACTACTGAGTTGTTAATTACGTTAATTAATATTATTCTTCAAAATGTAATTTATGATTCAAGAAGTATTTTATAAAAGTGAGTTCATAAATGGAAAGCCTCTTTAGTTTTGATCCAGCTCAGTTTTGGTTTCAAAAGTTAAACCTTGAATATATATGTACTGCCTCTATTTCTCTAGGCCATTGCCAGAGCAGTCAAAGCCAAGGACAAGCCATTTGGAGGCATTCAGCTCATTGTCTGCGGTGACTTTCTACAACTACCTCCTGTCACCAAACCTGGAGAGAAACGGAAATTCTGCTTCCAGGTATCTCTCTCATACTTCAAGGATAGAATTGGTTTATTGATAATGTACCCCATTCATGTCCCACCCCTTCCCGCCAAGCTGATGAGGTGTGATTCCTCATGTTATTGAAGCACTGTATTAAACACATACAGGCTGAAAAAAAGAGCTATCAACCGTACATGCAAAGCAATGAAAATTGCACTAGTACGACCAAAGCATTGTACGAGTATGATATCTAATCATATAGTCCCATCTGCTTCTTATAGTCCCAAGCTTGGAACAGATGTATTCAGATGACACTGGAACTGACTCAAGTCAAGCGACAAGAGGATCCTGTCTTCATCGATGTACTTCAAAACATACGTATTGGCAGGTTTGTGAGATGTCTTGTTTTGGAAGAGTATATACACTATTAGTTATCCCATGAGCGGGCGTGGAACATGGAAAAATGTAGTGTGTCTGTGTCCCACATGCCATGAGGCCAAAGGCTGAGTGGTAAGTGGAACGCAGACACACTACATTTTTCATGTTCTACGAGTTTGAGTGGTATAAGGACTTTATCCTCAACTTAGAACAAGGATGCTGCACATGAATTTTTCCGTGGCTGTCCTATTACACGTACGTGCAGCATGAATGACGCATGCATCTTGGATCATGCACTATGGATCGTATTGTTAGGTACAATATCACACTGTTGTTGCCATGGATTGACCAATCAGGTTCGAGGATTCAAGTTTGCTTCAAACTAATACGTGTATGTGTAGCTGGCAACTTCCCCAACATAGGTTTTCCCTCTGATATACAAGTACATGTAGTCTACTGGACCACACGTCAGAAGGGTTGTTAACGGAATTATCATGGGCGTCGCGAGGGGGCGGGCCAAGGGGGGAAAAAAAGAAAAGAAAAAGAGGCGCAAAGTCATATAGGTGTAAATTTCATGGGTTGGGGGGGGGGCAAAATGAACCTCCCCCCCCCCCCCCCCCCCCCCCCCCCCCTCTGTAAAACTGGTAAATCGAGAATATGTTGAGAACTACAGGGATTTTTTGGCAAAAATATGTTTTGCCCCCCTCTGGAAAAAATCCTGGCGACACCCATGAGGGTTATAGATGTAATGTAAGCATTTCTTAAATCCACTATTGCATTTCAGAAATTCCTGTTGAAGTACACGTCAGTTAGTTCAATGAAAACAGGCATATCATCTTGTTAATATATTTGAATAACAGAGAGATACAGACTGCTACTACAAAGATACATATGTTTCTTCATGTATGTAAATCTTAGGTGCTCCCAGGATCTGTGTGACCGCTTGACAGCGACTGCCAAACACAGCATTGACCGAAATGGCATCCTAGCAACCAGATTATGCACCCACAAGGAGGATGTTGATCTCTTGAATCAGGTCCACTTGAAGAAACTCACAGGTAAAATTTCCCTTGGTTGAAAGTGAATTGCCAACAACTCGCCTCATCCTTTCACTATGGCTTCTTCTTCATCTTGAGCCACATTTGAGATTTGCAGACAAAAAACCCGTTGTCTGTTGCATTGTACACTGTGAATACTTCGCCATCAGGCTTTAACTAAGCATTGAACTCAGTTTAAGAAAATTTGTACTCGGCTCTATGTGAGTGCAATCCTGTAGATATCGCAGTATTTATTCTAAATTCACTCATAGCCTTTTTCCAAACTGTTGCTGAAGTAAATTTTGACAAAACAAACAGGGTGTGCCAGGATGTATGACGCCTGGGACAGCGACCCCAACCTTGTCAGTGTCATCAACAGTCAGTGCCCCGTCCCTCACAAGTTGGAGCTTAGAGTAGGAGCTCAGGTCATGCTTGCCAAGAACCTGGACGTACAGCAAGGGTTAGTGAATGGAGCCAGAGGAGTGGTGACAGGCTTTGGAGCTGGTGACGCTGGTAAGATGGGTGTAAATATAAAGGTCATTGAGCCACGACTACACTGATATGTCTGCCACCATGTTGACAGCTTGAACTTTGTTGGGTTCAAATCAGAATTCTAAGGAAACACTTTGTAACCCTCAAAATGTGGTCTCACAAAATGTGTTCAACTGCCTGTATAAAAAAGTGAGTCTTGTCACCACATAATAACATTTAAACCGATCTAATGAAAAATATATTATTTCTCTATGTATATAAAATAACCATGGAAATGAATGAGTTACTTGAACTAGTCCAGAACTGAATGCTTAACTACACCTAATTTTTAAAATAATAAAACCCCACAAATTGTGTGGATCACTGACAACAATGAAATGCTTGCGAGTTGACCAAGGTTGCTCATAAACTGCACTGGGATCAGTGGCGACGTCAGACTCTGAATTTTTTTCATTTGACGCTTTGGGGCACTGTTCAAAACCATTTCCAGTCTTAAATATACATTCAGTGTGCCACTGACTTTGATAGAATATTTGCTACAATAATACATGTACTCAAGTCTTGATTTGGCATCGCCGTTTCATATTTCAGGTCTTCCTATTGTCAAGTTCATGTGCGGCATTGAGCAGACTATAAGGATGGAACGCTGGGCGATCAGAGCTGGTGCAGGGTTAATTCTCAGCCGCAGACAACTTCCGCTCAAACTAGCCTGGGCAATCTCAATACATAAAAGCCAGGTAAAAACTATCCAACAGAAAATTCTGTCAGTATGTTTCTAACCCTCTATCCCAATGTCTTTAGAACTAGTTGTAATGTTTAGTTTTACCATAGAGCATATTAAATTACTAGTGCGCTAACTCGCTGAACAAAGTGAAGCGTGCTGGGCGCAAACCTATGAAAAACTTAAAATTTAGTGCCGCTTTAGTACAGCTATTTTCATGTCTGCATTTGTATTCTATACCAGTGCATTATTGAAGCCGATACACCAACAACTTAAACACAAAATCAATAAATGAGCGATTCATTTTGCTCTGCGCAAATAATGCAAATGCCTGCGTTGTACTTGCGCCTTGCCTTTTTTTACATTTTTTCAAAATGTATTCCATCTAATCTCACTATGTTCTGCGAACACATGAATTCAAAATGCCTGCGCTCAGGATGGCTTCAAAATATATCAGCAGGAGAATGAAGAGTTAGTGCTCTAGTAATTTCATAAAGCTCTATGGTGTTTACTGATATAAAATGATCTTTTTGATTCTTTCTGCAGGGCATGTCACTGGACTGTGTGGAGATTTCTTTATCCCGTGTCTTTGAATGTGGCCAAGCCTATGTAGCCCTGTCCCGAGCACGCAGTATCCAGGGGCTACGTGTGCTTGACTTTGACAAGTCTTGTGTGCGAGCCCACCCAGATGTTTTGAAATTTCATCACCAGTTGCGTCGAGAGCAGCGCATGATGCAGACTAGTATTGTTGACTATGCAGACAAGGAGAACGTCAGGCCGTTTTATTGAAGGTATCATCTGTACCACCTATTTCAGCCAGGGTTAATTTGATTGCAGTTGGTATATAAACCGAAGTCACTTTATCACATTGGTGGATTTTTGAAAGTAAAAATTACAACGGTGTCCAAATTTCTACTAGTTACAAATGTCCTTTATGCGTATGAAAAATAGTTGTACAACTGCAGAACTTAACTCTGAATTATGAAGCAAGTAGTTAAGCCAAGCACAGTATGGCCCCATTTTCTGAAATATTCCCTTTTCTTTTTAATTGATGGGTATTATAGGCGGCCTAAGTTTTCAAGTCATCAGTCTATTCTGCAATGATAGACAGCTTTCGCAGGACAAAAATGGAAACAGAAAATGTTTTCTTACATTTGAATTTCCTACACATTGTTTTATTTTTATTTACAATGTCAGTCGTTTATAACATGAATTTTTAAGAGCAATAAAGATAATATAAAAAGTGTTGTAGTCTATTGATTTGCATTTAAATTTCAGTTTGTTTAAAAACCTCCCTTATCTAAAGACCGAGTCGAGATTGCTCACATTTTTTTTTATCAGGTTTTTTTCTATAGCATCCTTTTTGAAATCTCGAATTCCTGAGGTTTTAGTGTAAAGGTGTCTTTATAAAAGTTTATATGTGGCAAATACAGACATATGCCATTGACCCTATGTTGCTTTTGAGCTCTTGGCGACCCTCCAACCCTCTGCTGATTATTATTTGTTTTTTTCTTTAACCCCATCTCACCCCTATAAAGCATGTGCTTCAAATTTAAATTCACATTACGAGTTTGAAAAATAAGATTTGAAGGTTTGCATGGTGAGGATAGTAAAAGTTTATGGTTGCACCTAGTCTTGGTCCCAGACGTTACTATCTGGTGTTTGTTACACATGTACACTTTTGCACTTGAAAAATATATTCGATCAACAGAGGGTGCAATTTACAGATAATGGTAGAATCAAATACAAGTCTGAGGGAATCGATACTAGACAAATAAAATCCATCACAGAATCGGATACATTAAGAATCGATAACAGTAAAACAGCGTCCATGTTGGCTTGTAAATAACTGTTTTCTCATAAGTGTAAACCTTGAATTAGTGACACAAAAAGTCTGTGTAATATCCACCTAAATGGCCTACAAAACCATAAAATATGAGATGCAGCCTAATTTGCCTTATTTTGGAGATATTTCAAGAGCACAATGAAGTACAGGGAAAGGCCTAATCATTAAAGTTGACTGCCAACCATAAATTTGAAGCACTTCATGATAAATCCTGAATCCCAATCGTTCTCAGTAATACTTGACCTCAATCAGTCTCAGTCAAACTGAACTCCTGTTGCAGCTTTCCGTCTGTATAACAGAAAGAACAATTATTTTAATCCGTGATTGAATGTGGACATTTCTTTAAGGTACTATCAATCACGAAGGATATACCTTTTTGTACTTCAATAAAATAATTAAATTATTTATTACCGGTACTTTTTTAAAATTAATATAACTGAAAGCCCTTACTGCTGGAACTTAAAAATTAACAGTAAATTACTTTACACGAAAGTTTCAATCAAATCAACAAAGATTTACTGTGGCAGAATTAATGACCAAGAACATTGTCAAGTTTCTGGAAAAATGTTTCAGCAATGACCTGGAAGGTCTCTGCGGCTGTCACATAATCCAAAATGCCACTTTTGTTTCACTACATAAGTTGGTCTTGTTTGTGCCAATCTAATTATTACTGATGGCAGAGTTGACAAAACAAACAGGCTCTGTTCAAGATACAGACCCGCTAAGAATCTGTGTTTTAATTGGACTCACTTTTTACTGCTGGGGTTGACTATGCTATGACCTTGCTGCTTTTGAACTTTGATTTGTCCCGACCTCTTTTTAGTATCAATATCTGCAAACAAGACATGTAAATAAATTTCTTTGACATTTGAAATCTGTCCTCACATGTCTAGGATCTATTGTGTTTATTTTGTTGGTTGGATAATGCAGAATTTTCTGAACTTGTTGTCTTCAATAGCTGACGTACCTGGAAGGACTGCTGCAACACTGCTCGTTCCTTTTTGTTTCTTCAGTACACTCAGTTCTTCTTCACACTCTGTGTATAAATAATTCAACAGTTCGGTGACCAATGAAAAACTCTTGTGCTGGCAAGGGGCCTTCCCCCAAAAAGAGCGAAACACCTAAACAATTATATGCACGAAACTTAAAAAAAAAAGAAGGGCAACCAGAGATATATGTAAATATCAAATCCAATGTTTTGAAAGCACGAGTGAAGTAATGTCAGTGTCTGAATTAACTGATGGCTGATTGTCTAGATTTGGGACCGGAAAAAGCATCTTTCTGAGCAAGGTAATCCGAAAAAGAGTCTGTTGGCTTCTTTATTGTTTCCGAGTAAACATTATGAACCCTACTGAAATACATGTTCCCACACAGTGCCCTTTAATTGATAGAGATGATTCAACTGTGAAATATTGGAATAATCACAGGGTGTGAGGTGTGGCCATTAGAAATCAATCAGAAGTGCTCTGGGATGGAAATATTACAGTATTATTGGATCTGTATCATAATTTACCATTTCTTAATGTCAAAGTTTCTTAATTGATTTCTTTGATTCTTTTTAAAATTTAATAGAATTCCAAACAACTCACTTGTAAGTTTATTAGTCACGTCAGAAACGGTGTCAGCCAGCCAAAAGAGGGCGCTCTTGAGATCCGCTTTCCTCTCGCTGGCTGTGGCCTCATATAGGTCATATCTCAGTGCAGCCGACCCTGTGCCTACATCCAAACTAACTTTGTGAGCTTGTTTTGTGACCAGCAGATCACCACTAGTAAATGCTTTCCTTGATCAAAAAGGGGAAGAAAACATTTTTGATCAGACAGTGAAAGATGTACATAAGCATGTATGAGCAGGAAAACAAATCTATTAATGATGAAACCCATGACAAGAACTGGTATTTGATACGCCTAGTTGAATTGGCTACTTTGTTTTCTCAAATGAGTGTGCACAAGAAACTCATCAATTGTTACCAAGAAAAAGCGGTAAGTGCACAAACCAGTGTGCTGTGGTGGGGCTTTCTGCCTGAGCTTTCTTTAGTTGCCAAAAAGTGGCATATACTTCTGTGCACATACACGTTGCAGGATGTCTACATCTTGGGCTACATATATACCCAAAAAATGACAAAAGGTTTTCAAACTTTCCACAAAGTCGTACAAATTCAGTTCTTGCATGTGTGAAACTTGAACGTATTGTAACATCTGCTTACTTGAATCTTGCAAAGTAGGCCTCATAGTTTGCCACTTCTGCTAACTCCCTCTGAAAGGAAACAAATAGTGTCATATTGAAGCATTTGTGTCATAGTTTCAAATTTTGGTGTTGGTTTGGTCTGAACAGTTTCTTCTGAAACTAATAATCCTGACAGCCACAAAAGATTTTTGGCAACACAATACTCCTGGTTTTGGACTGGCTTTCTCCCTTAAAAAGGAAAAGGGACATGTGTGCAGGGTGGTTATTAATGGCGTCAGACGTAGGTCTGTTTTGATCAAGACATCTCTTAATTTTTATATCAATAATTTTCATACATGTATTAATGTAAAACTTGTTAAATTTTAAATAAATCAACTTTTTACATTTGAAGCATAATCTGATTTGCACAGTTGGGCTGTGTTTTTAAGGAAAGTCGAAATGTAAAATCCTGGATAAGACCACATATAACTAACGAGTTTGAGTTTCTGGTTCTATTCACAACATGACCACAAACAGGTGCCAACTTGCTTTACTTACATGAGAGTCTAAGCTCGTCTGATCCATTACTGACCTCCACACATCAACGCCATTTGTTACACTACAAGAATAAATTAGAGCACAAAATTAAAAAAGGCCTTGCAGTTGTGTAATTGAGGACCCCTCTACATCATCCCATTGGGGAGAAGGATGTAAGGGAGTCCTTAAAGTGGGTCATGTTCTTCTTGGCTGTGGCACAGGGGTGTGTCAAGTTTGCTCAGTAGGTGCGTCACAATCTGTCAGATGTGAGTCCAACATTTTGCCAAGTAGGCTAGGGACTAGCATCAAAATATACATTGACTGTTGTACAAGAAGACAGAAGACACCGCCAGTTTTTTTTAAATGGCCGCCATTGGACTCGGGAAATGACAACCAGTGGGCACCTAGTACATGTACCAACTTTATATGGGCTAGTAAGCCAACATTTTTATGCGACAGTTTAAAATGTATCGTTTTTTTCGGTTAAAAAAACCCCAAAATTTCAAAAAGGGACAGCCTCCAAAAAAGGAAGCGGGTGGGGAGAATGCTAAACATGTTTTTTAAAATTATTTTATTTGGTGTTATTGGTTAATCCACAGTCATGACAGTCATGACAGTCACAGTGTACAGCATGTACAGCGCAGCAATAGGCCTACTGAGCGGTGAGCCAATGGCAATAGCCTAGGTCAATCTAGTGTTTGTAGGCCAGACCCAAAACTCACTGAACAATCCAACAATCGCTTGAACAAGACGTGTAAATCAGAAAGCGGCCAGAAATGGAATCAACCACAGTCTGTAGGTTGTGGCCTACGTCCCCTTCTTCCGCTAAGGATTTGGCAGACGACATGGTCGGTCCGTGAAAGCAAATTAAAAATAAATATACTGTGCATATTTATAGCGCCCTCTTGTGAGCTTTAGGTCGTCAAAACTAGCGCCCTCATTTGAATTTGTCGTGTTCAAATTAATTAGGCCTACAAACTTCTACCAGTTTTTATTTGTTGTAATTTTTAACGAGGGTTGTCCATTTCGGTTAAAATAACCTACTTTCCAAAGTTCTGCAAAGTTCTTGGAAAGAAGCTTTCCCTTAAGTGGTCAGAACGGGAGTTGAGTCTCATGAATGTGTTGATGTTATTTGTGCCGTGTTGTACGGAGTCTTGGTTGGATCATGGACAGCGGCGTCACCAGACTTTTCAGTCTGGGGGGGCACAGGGGGGGCACCAGCATTTGATGGGGGGAGGGCACTTAGGTGGATACGGATCGCCGTCCTGGGGGAGGGGTCTAAGGGGAGGGGGTGCCCCCCTCCCCTTTGGAAAATTTTCGCATACGGAGGATGGGCTAGATGCAAAATGGTGCCACATTATATGGATTGATATTTCGAATTCGCCTTATTGCGGACGGCTTTGTAGACCATGGTTAAACGGAAACATGGCCAAGGGAAGGGCATATAAACATACCAATTAAGACTGCATAAACAAGTCACACTAATTTCATTGGAAAGATCGACATAGCAACAGTTTAAACCCAATGTGAACTTTCTGAATGTTTGGTGGAAATAAAGAAGCCTCTGATATCCGCGTTATGCGTTCAAATACCTCTGATATCCGCGTTATTCTTTCAAATATATTGACACCATCCACATAGGAAAATGCCCTGGTGGGCAAGATTACCATATGCGAAGTTTACTGATTTTTCTCTGTATTGATTAACAAGCCCCCAGATAGCAATTTCATGTCATCAAAGTCAATTTGAGCAGTGAGAAAATACAAGCATTTTCCTAGAAAACACTTTCAATTTTTCGGTCCAATCTCATAGGGTTTGTACACAGGGTGTTGAGTGAACTTAATATATGGAAATCTTTCCCCATGGTGTCCCAAATCTGCCATCTCGCCTTACAAATCTCGCAGTCACTGGTCTCGATCTCGCATCTGCCGCTTGGTCGTTTTGTCATTCACGGACGTTGACAGCGACAGCTGCGCAAGCACTTGCAGTGAAGTGATTCTTAGTGACGACGACTCAAAATCATGAATCAAGCTTAAGAGGGCAAATCTCGAAAGAGAGTCACGCTATAGCTTAGATGCATGTTTGTGATGTAATTATATCAACTTTGATGACCCGCCCCAGCTCCCTAATACACGAGCACATTTTGAAAAGTCAGGGGAAATTGGCCTGGAAATGCCTCAGATTGCATCCAAAGTTTCCCTAAAATCCTAAAATATAAGAGTGTATGTAAAGATAATCAACCGTTTTAACTCGTTTTCAGACAATTTTGTTGGAAGATTGCGCTGCGCGAGAAACAAAATACTCACGATCTTTCACATACAATTTTCCCGTATCCAAAAGTGCTATAGTGTTCGGCATCATTTCTGGCCTTCTTCAGGCGTCAAGTGCAGACTTCATGTTCATGGCTGAAGATAATCGCACTGCCAGAACACCGGGCGAACCCCGTCTAGAACTTCGGGATAAGTGTTACTGGGTTCTTTCACGTGCATTATAGAGCACGTGACCTTACCTCCCATCCGAAGGACGAAACAATAATGATTAAGTGCCTGGCTTAAGGGCACAAACGGCGGGCTGGCCACGAGCGAAGCCAGCTGTTTCCGATCATTAGTTAGAGGGCGCTATATCTAAAAACAAATACTCCAATCAGAGGAATGAGGGCGCTGTTGCCTGTAATTTGAATTACTTAATATACACGTGGCGCTTTATATCAACAATTAAGCGGCCGAATCAACGGGGCGCCATTAAATGAGTCGAAGCATGCGTATATGACGATATACAAAATACAAATTGTGGTTATATCCTGTCGTAATTCGATCAAGCACATAAACTTCTCTTCATCAATTCGTCAGAAATTACGGAAGCGTTAAAGGGACATAATACAAAAACTAAATAAATAATAATAGTTATAATTATGAATTTATATGAAGTCATAATCATGAGATTTAAGTCATTATTATGATTGAATAATTGCTAAGTTGTAATTATGAGATAAAAGTCATAATTAAGACTTAATACTAAGTCATTATTGTAAGTACATGTATAAGTCATAACAATGTCTTAATAATAAGTCATAAGTATGATTTTTTTTTAGTTTGTATTTTGTCCTTTTAACGCCTCCGTAACACTGGTGAGAAATAGAACTTGCTGCGTTTGTTTGTCATGTCAAAATCTGGCAACCAGACTAATAAAGTAATAGTACATAGTAGTACACCATTGAATGACGTTCGCCACAGACTTGGGCATTTTTTCTCAACTTGGATGATTATTTTGCGCTACAAAAATCCTACAAATCATCTCTCAAAAGGGTTGACTGTTTTGAACAGAACTCGAGGTGTCCTAAAGATAAGGATTACCGACTTCAGGAGTAACACCACCGAATCGATTCCTCCCGCCACCGGCACGGGACATGGACTGGCCCAGCGGAGTCTGCTTGACGAGCCGGCTGAGACTGCATTTGTGACTTCAACCGTACCGTACCTCCCGACAAGATTCTGTCAAGTTTTACGTGCATGAAAAAAACAGTGAACTGAGATTTGACAGGTCACTTAACTTCCTCCATTCAGACATTTTGCATTTGGAACTGGAAGGTTGAACATGTTGAATCATGCTAAATCTCAGGCAGTCTGCACTGTTGTGTTGCAGTGCATGTGAATAAGGTGAGTGAAACATTGATAACAATGATATACACGCACCTGTTTTCCTATATATTGCAAGGCGTGCATCCTAAAAAATGACATACTTTCACTGGGGTCGTAATCTTTGATGCACGAACCTTACTGCAGCAGCGCAGCCGAAACAAATCACATATATGCTTTACCGGGGAAAAAAAGTATGTTTTTTACAGCTCCTGCAGAAATAAAAAGTATGACAGATAGTGACCTTTCTTGGTCTCCCACTGTCGTCAGTATTAAAGTTAATATTTTGGAATTTTTTGGTCACAAGTTGTAAAATCCGACATCTTGAAAACTGTCTCTGTTGATTGGGATGATCATAATAACAATATTATTGGGATAGATACATTTCCTAGGTAAATATGTATAACATGTATTTAGCCTAGGCCTTTTGTATAAATTACCAAAACGAGGATACTGAACATAATCTGGGGAAATTACGAAAAGTGTATTGGCATTGAAAAAAGAAAGTAAAAAAAAAGCTAAAATATGTTTGAAAAGCTCAAGGAAATATATTTTCCTAAAGCCAAGAAGTCTAAGTTATAAAAAAAAAATGTGTATTGAGTTACATGACCCGTACAGCACAGATGATTTTTCATGAAGCGTCCCCTGCGCAGAATTAGGCAGGATTATTGTCTACAACGCCAAAACTGCACGCTTTGGAATTCCCTGCTTGCTGCCACAAATAAAGAGATTTCGCTTTGTTAATTGGTATGGTGGAAGTATTTTTTCAACCACATGTACACTGTACATGTAATTAAGTACTCCAAATTTACCTTTTTTTCCCAGTCCAAATTTTGTTTGCTAAGGACTACCGAAGTGTGACATCATTTAAAACTGGAAAATGAAGTGCAAACGAATAGAGTGCGCGCGCGTGTTGGTTCACGGGCTGAATCAGGCGCTTAATGACTTTAACACATTTTGTGTGCGTGACGTATTCACTTTGGTTAACTCCATTGGCTACAACATGTTCATAAACGGGAGCAAGCCACCTTACAATTTTCTGGCATCTATAAATTTAGTATCCATTTCATCTTAAGTGGAGTCAGGGAACCAGATTACCTTAACATTTTTGTTTTTCTTAGTTTTCTCAGCTTTTTGAACACAAAAACTCAACCATGTCTGTGAAATAATATTTGATCTATTGCAATATACTAACCCTTCAAATAAATCATTTCTGAAACTACAGCCAAAGTCAATGATGTACATTCCCTTTAATATGTATTGTATTAAAATATGGAAAATATAAGTATATTAATGTATTAATATACTTTACAGTACAATAAATTATTTTGTTAAAAAAAAGCATCTTTTACGGTGTGATAAATTTCAGTAAATGTTCTTTGTACACATACAAGTTATTTCTGGCTTGATGACGTCAATATACAAAAATGGGAAGTAAATACTGTATTTACCTGTGTCCTCCATCTCACCAATTATCTTTGCCGGGACGTGGAGGGTGACGGAGCAGGGAGCTGCGCTACCCGCTGGTTCATAAATGCTCCCTTTTTATGTTGAAGGATTTGTCCCAACAGGCCCTTGAAACTATTGACTGTTTTCACTGAGATAGCTTCAGGAGGTAAACTGTTCCATGTCTATGATTCTCTGAGAAAAGCTGAATTTTCGGATGTGTTTGTAGATCTTGAATTGATGTCCCCTACTTGTTGAGTTGCCGAATGAGAAGAAATCACATGCCCTTAGTCGCTGCATGCCCTTCACAATTTTGAAGACCTCAATCAGATCTCTTCTGAAACGACGAGTCTGAAGGCTTGTGAGTGAGACCCAGCCTGTCCAGCCTCTGTTCGTACGGTAGGGGGCCTAAGTGTTGGAGCTCTGGAATTATCTTTGTGAAGCGACGCACAACTCTTTCCAGGACATCTACGTCTTTCTGTAACTATAGTCTCCATTGCCTGCATGGGAATTTGCTCAAAATGGGGCCAGATGAGTGACTTGCACAACTTCAGCATGATGCTTGCATTTTTGCATGAGAAGGTACGCTTGACCAAACCAAGGATACGATTGGCTTTGGAAGCTGCTGCTCCAACTTGCTTGCTGACACTAAGAGACTGATGAATTATTACTCCTAGGTCCTTTTCTTGTGATGTAGATTGGACTGGATAACCCCCATGAAGTATAGTTGATCTGTAGATTTCGGTGCCCGAGAGAAAGACATTTACATTTCTCAGCATTAAACAACAAATGCCACTCCGAAGACCAATGATGCA